AAGGAAAGGAAAGGAAAGGAAAGGAAAGGAAAGGAAAGGAAAGGAAAAAGATACAGGGAGGGAGGAGAGGAAAGGAAAGAAAAAGAAAGATATTTTTGGAAGAACTTTTGTTTTTATCCCTTCACAGTTTCTTTCTGTTTTCCTTTGCATTTTATTTCAACTTTCTCAAAAAGACCCCCTTGGATAAGTTATTCCCCTTGAGTAGAAAAGTCCAGGGCAGAGGAAGGTCAAAGAGATGTGGTGTTGGGTTGGCAGTCACTATTTCAAGTCTGGAGCTCAAAGGGTGAGAGAAGGGGAGGCTAAAAGAGTAGCAGGAGTTGGGAGAGAGCAAAAGTGCTGCGGGCACCAGGCGGGGCTCAGTGTCGAGCACTGGCTTCTACCCCAGCTTAAGGGGCGTGATTGATCGATAACCAACCAGGCCAACTCAATACAAAAAGATTTAGCTTTTTTTATTTGTTTGTTTATAAAAATTTTTACTTCCTCCCCTCATCCCCATACCCTCCCATTCCCTCCCTCCCTCCCACCACCAACTCCCTCTCCTTTTCCCTCTCCAGCCCCCAGAGCAGTCAGGGTTTCCTGCCCTGTGGGAAGTTCAAGTTCCTCCCCCCTCCCTCCAGGTCCAGGAAGGTGAGCATCCAAACAGACCAGGATCCCAAAAAGCCAGTACGTGCAGACGAAACAAGACCCAGTGCCATTGTCAATGGCTTCTCAGTCTGCCCCCATGTCAGCCACATTCAGAGAATCTGGTTTGATCACATGCTCGTTCAGTCCCAGTCCAGCTGGCCTTGGTGAGCTCTCATTCGATCAGTCCCCTTGTATCAGTGGGTGAACGCACCCCTCGTGGTCCTGATTTCCTTTGTCAGTGTATTATTGGTGATACTTTTAATATTTTGCAATTGCATAATTTGACATGATTACAATTATGGAAAGAGTATGTGGTAGTTGATTAAAATTATTTAAGTTTCTCAGAAACATATTATTTCGTTCTAAATTTAGACAAGAAAGAAAAGGTTTAATTCTAACAACCACCATAGAATTTATATGTATAATTTTAAAAAGTGACAAAATGAGACTTTACCTTTGTATATATTTGAAAATAAATACTAGAATTATATTATTCTATGCATAATTGTAGAAGTAAATAAAATATAATGTCAATTACAAAAAAAAGATTTAGCTTTTAATAAAAGGGGAAAACTTACACGACCAGAGATCCCACGAACACCAGATGAGCAGGGAACCAAAGAGAGAGGAAGTGGCAAGGCACTTCGATCTTTTATTTGTTTTGTGTGGCCCCAGGGGGACACACCTTAAGTAGAATGTGATTGGCTGAGATTCCCCATCATCTCCCCTTTTGTCTAAACAAGATTGAACTAAACCCAATACAACTATATACAGTAGGAACAGATACCAGATATAAAAAATTACAAACAACAAACAGTATTAAGCAAGAAACATATAACAAAAGTTTTATTAAACATTTTATTTCAAGCGTGAAAAAAGAGGAGGGGAGAGGTGGGGGGGCTTTCAGGTTTGAGGTCACCTTGGTATGGCGCTTGGACACACATGCTCACATCACTCTGGCTACTCTGGACAGTTATTTTCGGTACAGTGGTTTTACTTTGCTCCCAGAAAATGATTTTCAGACTATCCTTTTCTTTACTCGATTTTCCCTTGCAAAGGACACTTTTCCAGCAGGCCTAGAGTAGGGGGGTCTATCCGGCAATGCCATATGTAAGGGATCAAGAAGGCAAGGGGCCTCCTCCCCACTACAGCTCACTGACTCCCAGGCATCCTGGAAGAGTTGGAGGAGCGGAATGGGAATGCTAGGAACACATGATGGCACCATTGTGTCAGCGGTGAGAACACAGAAGCATCAACTGGATCTGTTTTGGTCTGCATTGTTAAAGCTTTTTTCTTATAACAAATACAGAGAGAAGAGAATTCCTTGTTTTAAGCATTCCGTTGCACTAACTACTGTGTTACACAGTGTTCTGTAGTGTTCTACAGCCATGTCCAAAACTTTTCATCTTCCTAAACTAAAACTCCATACCCATCAAACCTTGAATCCCTAAGTCCCCACCCCCCCAGCTCTGGAAATCACCATTCTAATTTCCGTTCATATGAGCTTCCCTATTCTAGACGATCATGTCCTAGTCACTTTTGTCACTAGCGTATGTCACATAACATACAATCTTTAAGTTTGTTCATGTGATAGGTAGCATGTGTCAGAACTTCCTTCCTTTTTAAAAATCAAGTTATCACTTTTCTGGCTCCACTAAAGGTTGTGTATTCACTCACCCACCAATGCACACTTTTCCCTCTTAGCTATTAGGAATAGTGTTGGCTTAAGTACAAGTTTATAACAACCTCTTTGAAACCCTGCTTTCTAATCTTTAGGATATACAAAAAAGGGGGAATTTATGGACTGTATGACATTATATTTGATGCTGCTTTTGGAAAACTGCCAACCTGATCTGCACAGCGGCTATACCATTTTCTTTTTCTCATGACGGTGCACAAGGGTTTAGATTCCTTAACTTACTCAGCATCGCCCAGCTTCTGGGCTTATGAGCATCTTACTGGGTGTGGAATGAAGCCTCACCATGGTTTTGACTTGTATTTTCCTAATGACTAAGGGCACTGGCCATGTCTGCATGTGTGTCTTGGCCCTCTGTCTTGACTTGTTTCAGGCAGATTACCATTCCATTCGTTTAACATTTTCTTTCTGTTCTTTCAAGAACCCTGGGTCCTGCAGATTACCAACACAATCATCCAGTAAAATATAATGTCTACAGAGGTGTCAAATATATTCAGATCTCTTTATCAATAGTTATAGGGGAAAGATTCATTATAAGACCTTGAGTTGCCTTTGCTGAACTGTAACAATGAGCTAATTATAGAATCGTTGTGTTCAACTGACAGAAACAGATACTCCCACCGCTGTACACATTTCATGTGCTAGGGCTGTGCAGAGACACAAATCACTGTACTGTAATGTGGACTGTAATAAGTGAAGGGGCCACAAGAAAGGAATGTGAGGGTGCCAGGTGAAGAAAATCTTGACAGCAGGTTGAGGAGGCCGGAAGGGGAAGCAGGCTGGCATGAGGAAAAGGTCATGAGTCCTGGAGGGCATCAGCGTGGGATTACAGATCACTGTGGCTTCGGCCAAGTTTGGGACTCCCATAAGACTTCACATCATCGTCT